TGGGCGTCGTAGCCATCCCGGCTCCCGCTCTGCTCCCAGTCCTGTCCCGATCCAGCCTGACCGTCCGCCGGGCGCCCGGCCGGCTGCCGCCCCGCGTTCGCCCTGCCCTGGTCCCCGCTCTCCCAGCCCTGCCACCAGGCTGATCCCAGCACCCTCTGGCCGTCTCACTAATCTCCCTTGAGCTCTTTGTCTCATTCCTCTTCCGGAGAGCAATTAAGAGCCATCTGGGCGCTGCGTTAACCTGATGCTCTTGCCTCCTTCCAGACAACCCGAGGCATTTCTGAACTAGAGGATGCAGCTTGGCTCTCCACCACCCCATTAGCCCACATCCTTACCCCATTTACAGCCCTTCAACTAGTTTTCAGGCAACTGGGACAAAGTCCAAATGCAAATCAAGTTTAAGGAACTTGGCAAGCTAGATGATAATTTGGGAGGGGATTGCATTGCACACAGCCAAGGGCCGGGGGCTCCCCGCACACCCACAGCTACAAGGAAAGTCAGGAGCATTCGGGAGAGCCCGGCGGGAGGGAGGCAGCGGATAATTTAAGAACCCGGTGTCAAAAGCAGATCAGGTCTGACTGCAGGGCCGCTTCACAGAGCGCAGAGCCTGTCCAGGGCCGGAGAGGAAAGCAGTGGTCACGCGTTCCGGAGGGAAGGATCGCCGCCCCGGTGACTCCGCTGGCCGGGCGTGCGGCTCGGCAGCAGCTGTAAATAGAGACCGCTTCGCGCTGTGCAAGGGCGAAAGCCCAGCAGGGAGACGCCCAGCGTCCTGCCCCTCCGCGGGGCTCTCAGCTCGCAGGGCAGCGCGGTGACGGGCCGCGTCGCGGCTGGCGGCGGAGCGCCGCAAGGAGGAGCGACCGAGGCTAAAGGGAGCTGCAAAACCAGGGAGCCTCTTGCGTCCAACGAGTGGTGGCAAAACACCCCCGAGCACCAGAGAGGCAACGTCCTCTCCCCTCTGCTGCAGCGCGCAACTGCGAGGAGCCGGCCCGGGCACGGCTGCGGCTCTGCTTTCCACCCCGCAGGCCGCGGCCGACAACATGGGCCCATTCCCGAGCACGCCGGGAGCACGGGTCAAAGCGCCTCATCTTCGGCCTAAATTTACTCCTGACCGATTTATACCTGTCTCTTCTCGTGTCAGCAGTGCCCATGAGCGTAAATAGCTTTTTTTGCCTCCCAGGCGCTTACCCTCCCAGTATATTTATAGAGAGGGCTCAGATGGCCTCCGAGCCGGCCTTCAGCAGGCCCAAACAAGCCCCAGTCGCGACAGCCGTTCCCGGCCCCCCGGCCGAGCAGATCCCGCACCACCACGGCCATTGGGGCCATTCCCGGCTCCTGTGAGGGGAGGCCCCCCTGCAAGGCAGCAGCCGCATAGGAGAACGTGTCACAGCACAGCACGGAGGGGACGAGGGGGCTCCCTCCCGAGGCGCGACGCCGGCACTCAGCCCGTGGCCCTTTAAGACCTCCTTTTCTCTGGAGCTGCCGGTTGTGAAACAGCCCTTGGTTGGGGCTGTTTCTCGTCCCCCACTTTTTTTTTTTTTCCCGTGCCGGCACGCTATTTTAAACAGCTGCCCCAGATCCGGCAGCACCTGAAGGGATCGTATGAGCCGGGGCCATGGGGCCACAGGAGGGTCCATCTCAGCAGCCTCCCCGTGGGCCAGGGCCCGGCGAGGGCGGCTCTGCAGGGCAGAGACGCCGGGAGCTGAGGGAAGGAGCTGGATAAACGGGGCCGGGATGACCGGAGAGGGCGAGCCCGGCCCAAGGCCAGGACGCAGCCTGGTGGGTTTATTTTGGGACTCCAACAAGCTCTCGGGAAAAGGTGATCGCACACATTGCCCTGCCGGAGCCAGAGTGAGGCTGCAGCAGCCGCTGCGCCGGGGGCCTGGCTCTCCACAGAAATATTTGGCATTGCAGAAGCAACTGTCTACACCGCGCGACGCCAGGACCGCGGACACGGCGAGCAGGTCCCGCGAGGAGCCGGCGCACAACGCGCTGCCACCCCCTGCACAAGGCCGAGGGGACAGCAGGGAGCTGGGCTGGCAGCCAGAGGTCACCGCTGCCCCAGCGCCACCAGGGCTGTGACAAACGTGTCCCACAGGTGCCCGAGGAGCTGGCAGCGCTGCGGCTGCACGAGCAGTGGGCGCAGGGGCCTTGCCAGGTTGCCCAGCCCCCAAAAGCGCCTGTCCCCAGAGCTGCCACCCGCTGGGTTTGGGCACGTGGTTCAGTGGCACTGGAGACACGGGTGCGGTGAGGTCGCACTGAGCCAAGGAAGGGCTAGAGCATCCCGGGTTGGTGGCTCTGGAGTGGTGGCAGCGGCCTGCAGGGGCTCATCCGCAGGCGCGGGGCAGCAAGTTGGTCCCAGGGCCACCGAGCCCGGCCTGCAGGACGCCCGGCTCCGTCGCAGGCAGAAGGACAGCGGCTCCGAGCCCACCTGCCCAGGGAAGGTGCTGCTAGAGAGGCCCCCACCAGGCCCTGGTGTTTTCCACGATCCCAGAAATCCCGGTTAATTTATCTCGCCTAAGCTGCCAGCCCGGGCAACATGGGAGATTGCATTTTGACAGCTGCTCACGGAAAATTCGTCTCCTCTCTCCTCCCGGAGCCCCTTCCGCCCTCCTCCGACACACCGGAGCCAGAGAGAGAGGAAGGGCCCAGCTTGAGCTCCTGGGCCGGTCCCCAGCCCGGCAGGGAGAAGGGGCGGACAGGGATGAAGGTGGCAGGGAGCATTTTGGGGCAGGGGACACGTGCCAGGGCCTGGCGCCCCTGCTCTCCAAGGCAGCATCTCTCCAAGCAGGGAGGTGGGCACACAGGCAGCAGGTGTCCCCGCGAGCTCCCCTCCAAGGCTCTCTGCCTCCTAGCAGAGCACCTAGGACTAACCCGCAGGGCCGCTCAGAAGCGGCCTCGGGGCTAGCAGGGAGCTGCTGCTCTAAGGTCCTGGGGGGGTCCCACCAGCATGAACGTCACAGGCGGCCCGTGGCAGTCCCAGCCCGCACCCCCTGCCGTTATCGAGTCTCTCCTGGAGCTGCTTCCTCCCCCAGCAGGACCAAGCTGTGAACTCACTGGTGGCACATCAGATTTGAGGACACAGTGCAGTGCAGGAGACCAAGCGCCAAGGGCTTTCCAGAGCTGCAAGACATACATTGGCAGGTGATATCATCTCTCCAATGGCTTGGTCTAGAAACCGTGAGCAAGCAGTACTTATGCTCTCCAAGGGCTAGTGCCCTCTGAGTATTTTTAGGAAGGTTAGACGGTTAATTTTAGAGAGCCACATGAAGTAGAGCTGGGAACCTTTGAAGCCTACACCGGGTCCTAAGAGAGCCCAATAGTTAACCCTGGTGGTGCCAAAAGCAGCACAGCTCAGGCCGGGAGGTTTTGAGGATAGGGGGAGGCTGGAGGCACATTTCCAGCAAGCATGGCCTTAGAAGCACAGCCGAGTTATCCCTGATTCAGAGCTTTTCCTCAAGCAGAGATGGGACCCTCCCGCCTCCTCCTGCCTGCCCTCCCTTCCTCACCCGGGCGCATGGCACACGCATGGCATGCCCACACGGGGCTTCTGAAGGATGCTAGCGAGCCCCAAAATGCAGGGCTGCCCCACAAGCACTCCAGGTTTTCCTCTGATGCAGGGAGAGGTGCAGCAGGCAGAGCAGTTGTCCCTCCATGGGCACCCGGAGCCTTCGAGAAGGTGCTGACACGGCCTCCAAGAATTAGGTCAATGAGTGACGTCGGAAATTAAGAGCCACCCTGGTGCAGATTAGCCAGCAGCGGTCATTTCCATCAGCGCCTCGAGGAAGCGGCACTCAGCTTGCCTGGGAAGAGCCTGCAACGGGGATGCACGTGCCTAGTCACCCTGTGCCCCGCGCTCTGGGGCAGGGAGCTGGACTAGCTGGTCTCTAGAGGGCCCTGCCAACCTCAACCATTCGGGAACCTGCGACTCCTGCATCAGCGACACGTCATGCAGAAAACACGCGACCCACGTACCTGCTCGGTGCTTTCAACCCAAAGGCAGCCCGCGCTGCACGAAGCCAGGCTCCAGAGCTCTGGGTTTCCACCGGTGACGCCCACAGCAGCCCGCATGGCTCACAGAAGCCTCCAAGAACTGGGACACGGACACAGTCACAGTCACACGCGCCTTCTCCTTGCCAAGGCCCTCCGTGGGCCCTGTGCCTGGATGCCGCGCGCTGAAAGCCCAGAGTGAAGGCGCCGAGCGTGCGCGGCGCAGCGACACAGTGCCGCGTGCTGCTTCCCCGTGCAGCGAACGGGAAGGACGCGACGGCCCAGCACACGGACACGGCTTCGCTCCGCCACGCCGCGCCAGCTCCCGCCGCTGGGGCTTGTTCCTAGCAGAGCTGGGCTAGACCCTGGGGATGGAAAATGCTGAACTGGACTCTCTGAGAAATGCTCTCTTAGGGTACAAGCTGTGACACCGCTCGCAACGGCAGAGACAGACACATACAGTTTTTGCGCATCCTCTCCAAACCTTCTGTTTGTTAGATGTGCATGCAGAGAGCATATAAATGCAACTGGTGCAAATTTTATCAATAATTCCTTCCTTTATTTCTGAAATGAGATTCCTCCAGAGGAGACGAAGCCCGGCGTTTCCCTGAGAGCACAGCCCAAAGCTCGGTGCCAATACCCCTCTGCTGATGCCGGTGCCACGAGGCTGCTCCTTTCTAGGGCAAACGCAGCCAAAGAGCAACCTGCAGCCCTGCAGCACCCTGGGGCGCCACGTTGCTGAGCCGGCCCGGCACGGAGCGCGAAGCCAGGACCTCACGGGGACGA